CGTTAAGGGGCCAGCTTCTGCTTCCTGGGAGGTGATTGAAGTCTTCCGATGAGGGAATAAACTGCAATACATTGTCCATGTCCACTTCATTTCCTAGTTTTGTTTCGTTATTTATGGCTTCATTCTCAATCCTAACCTGAATCACATCATTTCATTCTTTGAGATTAAGGAAGTGTTTTTTTTCGCTTTAAGCAATGTTCGCAGTGTACTCAGTGTTGACGACTTGCTGACTTTTGTAAAGGCCCCTATGCAAATGTCTTGCTCCAACAGTAGGGTACTGTTTACTCGCCCTAAATCAAATCATTTCAACAATTGTGTTCAATGTAAATATAGGACAGTTGACTCTCAGGAACGGCTCCTTTCTCAATGCTGTGATAGTTATGTGCAAAATAGTTTCTTATTCGACAAATTTTCCCTCCTTCAGTCTCGCATTGATCAGTAAGAAATCACCGAAGCTGGAGCAAAAGATTTTTATTTAGTTCTTTGTTACTTTAAGTTACTCATAAGTACTGAGCTAATGTAGGCTCTTAAAGCAAACATTAAGATTTGATAAAGGAAAGTTCAGCTTAAAGCGACCTACTTTGTTCCCCGAAAACAATGATATAATTCTCTGATTATAATTGCGCTTTTAATCCAATCACATGGTTATTTAGAGGAATTTGGGTATTTTCTTTACTTCGTAGAAGGCTTTTTTATGATGATGTTGTGTGCATTTTACCTAGTGAATAAATATAGTAACAATTTTTTAGTTTTATAAATTTATGCTGATAACATTTCCCTCTTACAAGAATGTTGATTTTAGCAAGCAGCAGGTTTTTTTGCAATGATCAAGAACTGGTTTCTTCCTATTTACTCGTTTGCAAATAAGCTTTGCAAGTCCTATGTTAAAAGAAATCATAACTAGTGTATTTTAGTCTAGAGTCCATTGAAGCGCTTTTTTCATTTATTAAGGAACAAAATCGCACATAACCCAACCTGGATTGATTCAAATTATCTTGTCACATTTCAAATTTCTAAACAATACGCATTCGATCTTATACAGACTTCATCCTTTATTTGGAAAAGCTTCTAATAGTTTTCAAATCATGGTTAAAGTACGCTATACGCTGTTATCAAAAACTTTTAAAAGGTTGTAGAAAGGTTCTCCTTGAAAATGCTCCTACATGTTTTCCTAGTGCTTGTAAACAATTCGTTCACTATCTTCCTGTTATCTGTGATGCCACTTAGTCTGTTCCGTCACAAATATTTAAACAAACGAAAACCTATGAAATCTATCCCGCTCAAGCATTTGATTGAGTTGTCGGAAGAATGGCTCGATTGCTGCTGGGATTGAAAAATTTGATTT